CACCCTGCCTCCAATGGACAAGAACAGGACATTAAATATAGCATGGCAGTGTATTTAACCCTACCAAAGACAGCTGAGAACACATAAAAACCAGTAACCTTAAAGCCTGCTGACTCTGGTTCAGGAAAGAAGGATAATTATAAACATAGGGGTAACTGAGGAGTCTGATAGTTTCTAGTGCAGCCTCACTGATTTGGCCCAAACTCAAAGAGACTGCATATTTATGTATGCATTTCAGGAAAATAATAGTTAACCATGGTTAACTACTTATAAGAGTGCTAAGGGAGAATAAAGATAATTCCCTTAATGAAGGTATTTGTGTGAAACAATTAACTTTTCCCATGTTCTCATGCCACTGTGCTGATGTTGAAACTGTACAGCTCAGTCCCACCTCAGGAGCTAAAAGACTCCTGCTGCTGTCCATGCTTGTGGGTTTTGGTGACATAATGAATTAAAATGCAGACTGGAAATCTCTTTTGGCCCTCCCCTCAGTGGTGTTGCTTCTGTCCTGGAGGAAACAAAAACCAGAGCCCTGGCTTCTAGAAGGAAGCAAAAGAGCAAAGTTCATCTGTTTGTTCAGAAAGCTGCTCCTATCCTAGCAATAAAGCAAACCTAACTGATTTTCAGGCAGGCATAACATCCCAGAAATTTCATTACTTTGCTGAACTGGCTGCTGTCTTATTAATGTTCACCAGACATAGGAAGGGTGGGGTGGAAAAAGGGATAGTTGGCTGGAAAATATCTACTGGACAAACAAAATAGTTTTTTTATTTAATAAATAAAAAATCCCAACTGTGTAGGAATTTTACATTCAGTTTCCTAAGGTTTGTTATGTACTTGCTCTGCCATCTGCTGCCCTGGCATTCCCCAAGGTTTCAGAATAGGAACTATGTCAGTGAGTTTTCCCAGAAACAAATACTGCATGACTAAGAACAAGCATCTTAGCAGCCCAGTGGGCTGTCCAGGAGATACCATAGCTCTGGAAAACTGCTTGCTTGAATCTTCCTGAACAATCACACTATCACTCCGTATTTTGAAGGATACTACCCTTGGCCCAGTGCTTTTCAAGGGTGCTTTTTCTCTTGATGGGTCTTTCAGACTGTCACCACCACTCCAGCTTCCCCAGGGAAAGCAAGAAAGTAGATCCAGAGGCAGAATGTTCTGGAGAACAAGTGACTGACTAAGAACTGAATTCTACCTTTTGAAAAAACAAAATGTATCCACTGTGGAAGGAAAAGGGAGGCGTATGTCTGGTGAAAGCAAGGTCGAGTGCATGGGAATAACACAGAAATGCTGTTGGCCATGGCAGGGGGAAAATTTGTGTGGTCATAGCTCAATTGGAGATTAAGCAAGCCAGAACTGTGGGGGACAATAAAAAGAGTTTTTTTCAAATATATTAATGGCAAAATGCAGAGTAGAAATAACATCATCCCATTACAGGGTGAGGATTGCCAGCCTCACAAACAGGGACATGGACAAGGCAGAGGTGTTTCAATGCATTCTTTGCCTCTGTCTTCAACATGGATGATTGCCCATGGGGGCCCCTAGCCCTGAGCTAGAAGACTATGACTGCCAGAATGATCAATTCCCAGCTGACCCTGAAATTGTCTTGCTTGAATCTGCTGCTTCAGCTGGATCCCTACAGACCTATGGGGCCTGATGGGACTTACCTGAGGAGCTAGCTGATGTCACCACAATGCCTCTCAATGATTTTCAGCAGTCTTGGGAATCCTGAGAGGTCCCACCTGACAGGAAGCTGGCAAACATTATCCTGATTTTCAAGAAGGCCAAGGAGGACCTCAGAAACTACAGGCCTATCAGTCTCTATTCAGTGTCTGGTAAAATCACAGAAAAGATTATTCTGGGAAGTATTAAAAAATACCTGGAAGACAATACAGTCATTGATCACAGCCAGCGTGGCTCCTTAAGGGGAAAGTCCTGCTTGTTGAACCTGATTTCCTTCTGCAACAGGGTAACCCTAGGTTAACCACTTAAAAGACCTAGGAAAGCCTGCAGATGTGATCTTCTTGGACTTCTGCAAAGCTTTCAGTATCATTTTGGACAAATTGTCCAGGTCACTGATGGATAAACACATCATGTGCTGGGTGAGCAACTGGTTCACAGGTCAGGCACACAGAGTTGTAGTGAATGGAGTAACATCAGAGTGGGGACCTGTCACTAGTGGGGTTCTGCAGGGCTCCACCCTTGGCCCTGAGCTCTTCAACATCCTCATTAATGACTGGGATACAGGATTCGAATGGATACTGAGTAAGTTTTGCCAATGGCACTAAATTGGGAGGACTCCCAGTTGACTCCCTCAAAGGCAGGGAGGCTCTGCAGAGAGACTGTGACAAATTAGAGATGGGCAACCACCAGCCATATGAAGTGTCTATGATTTTATGGAAACACAGTTTATTCCTAATACAGTATTGATTCTGCAAGGTTACAAACGTGAAAAAACAGGAAAAACTTGGTTTTGAAACTACTTTTCACCCACATCTCTGGACCAACTGTGTGCTTTCAGTAATTTCCTGGGGCACAATTTCACTTTGAAACCAAGACTACAGATAATCACAGGTTTTTGGGGTTTTTTGTTGTTGGTTTTTGGGGTTTTTTTGGCCCTCCCCTCAGTGGTGTTGCTTCTGTCCTGGAAGAAACAAAAAAATAAAAATCAAAGCCCTTTTTTTGCTTTTTGTTTGTTTGGTTTTTTTTTTGTTTGGCTTTTTTGGTTGGTTGGTTGGTTGGGTTTTTTTGGTTGGTTTTGTTGTTTTTTTTTTTTAATACAGTATAGGAATTTGTAAATGTGATTACTGACTTGGTAATTTTTGAATCTTCATGTTAAGCTTCCTTAAAAAGTGCTGGCTTTCAAAGCACTGATATCTAATACCTCCTGGCAGAGCCACTTTACGATGACTGAAATGGCATCCCAAGAACTGAGGCACCTTTATTCACAGTTCATTTCTGAAAGTGGGTATAAAGCAATTATAAAGGATCATTTGTGTAAAATGATAGTAATTTGATCAATACAGTGCTGTGACAGGGAGGGTAACTCTAGAAGCCTTCCTCTAACTGGAAACTGCATGTCTAGCTGAAAGATTTCTATGGGTTTAAGAAATGAGAACTTATCTGAAAAAAGGACACAGATATCAGCAATAGGAAAATACCTGCAGGAACATCATGGACATCCCACTTCAGTCATGGATATCACAGGCTCATCACTATTTATATCACACTTCTGTTTCAAATTACTCTGGTTTTAATAATATATACTAACATTTACTTTAAGGTTGTTTTTCTTCACTGTAGCTTTAGTTCCTTTGCTTAATTAAAACAGAATGAACACATAGCTTCGCTTGTAAGCAAGGTGGTGCACCTGATAAATCCAGTCAGGAAGAGAGGAAAACTCTGCTAAGTAGACTGTAATTTCAAAGGCTTGAATATAACTTTTCATACATTTTCCATCTATTCCTTCTCAAACAAAATCAGGAAAATCTACATGTAATATCTGAATGTTCTTTAGAAAAGCTGTCTCACTTTTTCCACTACCAGAGGAATGTTCTTAATCTGTTTTAGCTGACTTTGTGCATCATGAAGTAGCACAGAGCCCAGTTTCTGCCCTTTAACCTCTGCCAACTCCACCTCTCATGTAACTCTGAAGTGATCCAGGAACTTTATGAACAGCTTTGTATTTTTCAGAACTTAGTATATTTGTAAAAAAGGAGAACCCATTACAGACCAGAATAAGAAGCAGTACATAACAAAATTTCCAAGACCAACAGCAGTTAAAGTATATTTCTATGCAAAGCCTTTAGAAGTGACTACAGAAGATGCCTTTTCTACCTGCATTTGACACACTTGACCTTTTACCTCAAAGTCCAGAGGACTACTGCAGCTTTGAAGTGCCCACTACTTGAAGAAACAGGAGTGCTATCATTATAATTTTATTTCTAATAAATAATTTTCTAATAAAACTGGATGGCTTCCTCTCTTCTGGCTCTAAAGCATGCAATCTAAAAGCGAGAAACTTTGTGTTGTGACAGTAAATTGAGGAGCACCAATTTGAACACGCATGGGTAGTAATGGTATAGGAGTAAGATGGTAAAAATATCACGTAGCAATTTTTCTGACAGCTCTCTACTTTAACTGGCAGAAAATCAATAACATTAAGACTAAGGGTCACAGCCTTTGGAAAGAGTTACATCAATGCAAAAACAGAAAAGACAAAGCCAAAAGAGATTATAACCACAGATATCCCAAGGGACAGATGAAATCATGCATTATGATGTTTCTAAAAACAAAAAAAAAAGAGTAATTCCCTCATACCCCAAATGTCTTGTCTCCTAGTTTTCCACAGTTTTTTGAATTAAGAGGTGAAGATTGCAGTAAAAGATGCTACTGTATTCCACTTAAAAGCATAAAGTATCTCAGTGAAAAGTGTAACTATTCTCCTACTTGCAGGTAGACTTCTGGGAAATTGGAACCAATACTTACTGCTCAACATTAACCTTGCTGTTGCAGGCAGCAAGCTTCTACTCACAAACAGCAGTCACAGGAAACAGAGTGCTCCCTGTCCTAACAGTCACAGCTGAAATCGGGCACAAAGAGTGGACAATATGACACCAAAACAATCATGGCAGTGAAGAGACTAGGTTTCTATTCCTGTCCTAAAATTCCTGTGCAGGAAAGCATTTCAAGGATTACCTTTCATCTCCACAATGTAGAATGCACTAAAGGCTCAAGAAACGTGCACGTCTGTACCAACTGTGACCCAGAAAGGCCCATCCTAACACATGGAGGCACTGGAGTGTGGTCATCCCTTAAAAACAAAGGACACTGACTGATCCCACCCCCCCCTCCATCCCCCAAACAAGCAATTGGGCTCTTGAGTGTCAAGTTCTCAACACACGTAGTATAACCAGAGAGGCTGAAGAACACAGCCCATCTGAGCAAGCACTGCTGGTGTAGCTTTATTTAAATTCTCTTTGCTGTTAAGTTCTCACCTGTCTTGTTGGCGAGTCATGGTATTGTAGTATGAGCCTGGTGTTGATGCTGTGACTCCACGTGTTGCCAAGGGCTGCTGTCACACAACCAGAATCCCTCTTCCCACTCACAGAAGATCCTGAAGATAAATATGAGAAACTGCATCAGGACTGTGGAACAGAAAAGGGTTCAGCATTGAAACTTTGTCAGTCATCTCAGATTATTATCTAGGCTAGGTAATTACAAACAGCACTTAAGAGATGGCATTGCTGTATTACTTTCCTTCCTTTCTGATTTATTTATACAACTGAAGTGTGTTCTCCATCTCACCCTCTGATATCAATAAAAAGTGCCAAGAATTAAGGAGATGTTGCAAAGTATTACCTACTTTCTCAGAGAGACCAGTATATTTTCTAAATATCTAGGGGTGCACCATACCTGTGGGACACTTGCCTATTCCTCTTTAGCTACTCTATCCCCATGCAAACCAGCTTTCTCTGGGCATAGAGGAGAGGGAAGCAGGCCAGCTGAGTCACAGTGTATAATGACTTAACAAAAAGGGAATCTAAAGGAGCAGAATGAGCGACCACAATACTGTGACCTAACATTCAGAATACTGATTCATGCCATCAGACATCCACGCTTTTTCTAGGATTTGCAAAGAAGAGAGTCCCTTAGCTGTAATTACCATTCTGCTGTCTCTGAAATAATTTGAACTTTATATAACCTTGAAGGAAAATGGACTTTGCTGGAATCAGCAATGACAAAATAAAGAAGTGTTTCCAATAATGCCACATGATGCAGCTTGCTTAACTGCCATTGCACACAAGCTTGCTCAGACTGAAACCAGAGACCCACACATGCACATATACAAATATACAGGAGGGTAGGTGCCCCAGACCTTCATCTTTACTCCTCCCAAGTTCTGTGTAAGGTGAACAAATTGATGGGTGACTTGTTTGCACTTCAAATGACACTTCAAGAACAGAACAAGACAGACTAACCCCTGAAATTCAGAAACAAAATCCTAGTTGTTATGTGGGTATAAATGAGCATATGCAATTTGAAAATTGAACTGTTTGAGGTTGACAGTCCATACTGTTAAAAAGCCACGAGTGAATGAGACATAGTTTTGAAGTCAGGTAACTTCCTGTTATCTATCAGGCAACAAACAACATGGCTTCCCCAGGACAGTTGTAAAATCCTTGTGAAATAAGTCAATGAAAATTAGCTTTATTCCAGTGTCTGTTCTATCTTACATTTCTGTCAAAATGATCTGTAATGCAAGAGTTAATGTTGAAATCTAAACTATAACTACTAGTAAAACTGTACTGAGATGACATCTTGTAGCCCAGCAGAGCTTCTGGAAGATTCAGGTTCAAAACACTTCACTACTTTCACATTTGCAAGGAAGTGGGCTTTGTTACTTGCCCCCCACCTGCCCTTCTAACTATTCAGAGCAAAAGCATAGTTTCTTAATTCACTAAAGCTTTTATTTTGGAAAAATACTCAGTAAAGAATAAGACTAAAAGTGTTAGCATGTAATGATAATCATTGTTTATATTACTGCTGGTAGTTGCAAGCAATGAGAAGGATACTATTAGACTGCATTAGAAGGGAGCAGCAGGCAGGAGGGAAATGCCTGGAATGATTGCAGTGCACTACAGAATTCATCTGAAGGCCTCAAACCTTCCTCAATAATAAAAGGTTCAATTAACATCAACTGGATTTGGATTAGGTCTTTAAAAGTTTAAGATCTACAAAAGGAAGGAGTGAAGCACCAGGTCTAAGCCAATACTTTGACAAGAGTCTAGACTCTGTACTTGTCTGAATTACTTCCCACATCATAGGAGCTCACTGGGGCTTGCACACCTGCTTCTCCAGAGCACCTGTTCTAGTCTCATCAGTTGTACCATCCAGCAAAGATGGCTGCTTTTTTGTACTTAAAATACCTTGATAAGCAGCAAACTTCCACCTGAATAACTCACCAGAGAAGCATCTAACTGGAACCTTCAGTATTAGGAATGCTATTCTGTTAATTAGTCTAGCCCATCTCTGCTGGGAAGGTGGATGTGCTAACAAGAATAATTTATTCATCTGTGTTTTGGATTGAATTTTCCAGCTGAAAGAATGAACATGCTCAAGTGTTAAAACAGGGTTCTGGGAGGTCTGTGTTCCATTCCCTTAAAATGACTCAAAGCAAGTTACTTAATTAAGTTCATTAAGTTCTACAAATTTCTGGGTTTGTGCTAACACCACAAAAGTAAAATGCCATTACTGTACAAACAGGATAATGGAGAATATAAGACACTGAAGCAGCTTCAAAGTTTTACAAACCTTTCATGTGGAATAAGCTGCAATCAACGCAGTCCTTCTTTCCCTACCTTGTTAGAAATGGGTTAAGAATCACAAAATGCAAGTAAGACCACTAAATGTGAGTTTTGGTGGGTGTGGAGGTGTTCCCCTCACAGCTGATGTAACTGTACCCCTGTTTAGAGCTGGGAGCCACCATTCCAGACCACCAAGAAGCAATTCATGCACCTCTGCTTGTGCCCCCTCACTACAAAGGGCCCAGACATTCCAGAAGTAGCTAGTGTTGGCATAAAACAGCCACAAAATTCACACCTACAATTCCCTCAAATCATGTATCTGCTATTAGGTAACAGAAGGAGTAACATCTTGCTGTTGCAATCCTGAGCCAGGCATTTAAATAGTTAAATATCTGGAACCTGCTGCTATTACACTGTGGAGATATCACTTCACAGCAGTTCCTAATTCTGCATTCTTTCAGGCCTAAAACCTGTCCCAAAGTGAACAGAAATGCTGTATGTGTAAGGTTTGTGGCAGAACAAGCTAGTTACTGTAATTTATTTTATTTTCTCATACAGGAGAAAGCACACTGTACCATACTGTGTCAGCTCCTATCTGAAGAGGGCAAAGCCTCTTCTGTGAAGTTACTAAAATTTATGACTTTGGTGCAAAGTAGTTAGTAAACCTGGAGCAAATTTACAGCAAAGACTTTTTGAACGGTGGAAGGTAATGCCTCACTGGAAAGGTTTTCATTTTATAAGGGATCCTCCTGTGAACTGATGCATTAGGCAGATAGAGAGGTAAAACAAGTGAAGCAAACAGGAGGAAGCAGTGCCAGCTTTCCAAAGAAGTTCAAGGGCAGTGTCAACTTATGCTGCATTCCTTCTTCTTGCTCTAAACACAAAAAGATAGTAAATGTCTCAGAGGAAGGAAAGAGGATATGTTAAGAAAACAGATTTATGTTGAAACATGGCCTTAAAAAAACCTTGGACTTATCTTTTCTGTTATTTCAACCACTACTTAGACATTAATGAACTGGACAAAGGAAGTAGATAAATAACACTGTTCAGAGAGAGCAATTTTTTTCCAGCCTTGTGCTTCCAAACCCTGATATTTTCATACTTAGAGATGGGAGTATCACACCAACACTAGCCCAAGAAGAAAATATAATTATAAGACTTTGGCCTCTGCTCAGAGGTTCCCAAACTCTCCAACCTGAACCACTGCAGAGTGGTATGGAGTGCTTACTCATGTTGTGGGGTGGATGCTTCCACAGCACCTGCAATGTGCAGACACCTGATGGGCAGCAGTTCTAGTGTCTCCAGTGCTCTTAAAGCCAGCTCTTACTCCAGTCACTGCTGGCATCATGGTTTCTGTTCAAGACACAGGTGATGCAGGGAATGCAGGGATTAGAGAAAGTCAGAAAATAGAGCTGACATACCAATGAGAGAAAGTTGACATCTCAGTATAGGTATGCAGTAAGGGAGTGGGTGTCCAGAAGCAAAGAGGTGGGATCCTAGCATGGGGAGGTGAAGGTGAATGGTAGAAGGCTGGAAGATGTCTGAACGACTCCCTGCTTTCTGTATCAGGTCCACCTCTAGTAAAATGGGTGATTTCAATTCCTGTAAACACTCCCTCCTTCCTCACACACAAAAAATAGCATGAAACTAATCTTCAAAGCACACAGAACAAGGACTGTATGAGATGCCTGTTCCACTGTCTCCTGTGAAACTGAACTTTTGAGAGCACTGGCAGAGACACTAGCAGACACCGTATCTGTTCTGGACTGCAAATACAGAGGAGGAACTGGCTGCTTCACTCTCACTGAACAGCTGCCACAAGTGAAAATAAAGCTGCTTGTGGTCGGAGTCAAATGCAAAGTAAATGCTTCTCCACAACCAAGGGAAAAACAAAGAAGAACGGATGACTTCAGCTGAGTCCCACAATGCTGCTTCCAAGCAGAAGAGGATTGTTTGCAATGGGCTCCAATGCCCTGGAAGGAGCTGTCAGTAAACCTTGGCCACAACACTTGACCCTACTTATACATGAGAACTAGATTAGTTTTGTTTCTCCCTGTCAATGCAATCAAAACAAACTTTCTATAAGTAACTTCCCTGTCACTGAGAGGAATGACACATATAGGCAGGACAGAGAAAGTGGTTTTATTTCACCTTCCATTTTTCACTGGCGGGAACAGCAGGATTAAAGCTATTCAGCTCAATACTGCTTCTGGAATTATTCTGTTATGTCCAACCAGAGTATTGCAAGTACAGATCCAGTCTCCAAGACTTTCTTGTCTTCTGTATATGAGGTGGTACATTTTAGACACTAAATACTCATGTAAACAAGTCCCAATTGTTGCAAGTATGTTGGAAGGTGATTTAATATTAAAGACACCAGTTCCATTAGTTTCTTATCCTATGAAAGTTTTGATAACTAGACCAGTATCTTGAATCAAATGAAACAAACTTCTTAAAAGAGTATTTTTTAAATGCAAGAAGTCCTTGCCAGCAGCAGCTATACTCTTGATTAAAAAACCCCAACATTTTCCTTGTTGGTATAACTGCACAGAATAATTAGTTCCACCTTGTCCATATTCTCACATACTGATTTTTTTTTTCCCCAGATAGTCGTATCATTGCCTTTGGGCAGGTTTATCCCCAACACTGGGCCCTTTACAATCTCTATCAATTGGTAATTTGAAAATATTTTCTCATCAAATGTTAAAAATGGATTGATGAACTAAATGACAGTGAAATAACAAAATAGTGAAGCAATAAGTCCCCAAATCTTTCAAATCTTAACATCAAACCATCTTGATAAAAGCCT